AAATATTGAATTTAATATTTGATGGAACCAATTTCAAACCACTTTGGTTTAATTAAAATTTTATTAAATTTTTAAGGAATTATTATTTATGCGGAACATTTAGAAGAACTGAGGTTGAATCAAAGTGATTCTAACAGAGAAATAAGACGTCGAGGCTAAAACCCCACATTAAAGGTTATTATAGAAATTAATCGGTCTAATTCAGATATCAGGATTAACAACCTACAGACCACAGATTAATTTAAATATTAAGCTTCAGACCCACAATATTATTAATTATGCAAATTTACATGAGAAATTTAAAAATACCATTAAATAATATATATTTTATAAACGTATCTGAACGGTTTAAGACCCTGCAATATCATTTATCATCTAAAGTTTTTGACCAATTTAAATATTAAGGTTAACTTTTTGTGATGATGTTTGTTTACCAGACAGATTTACATGTTTAGTTTCAGGCGCAATATTATTACAAATTCACCTGACTGCATAGATGTAAACGTAGATTTTATGGTTATTTTATTTTATATTGTTTGTTAGTTTAGAACCTCTAATATCAAATATTACAGAAATGTACTCAACTAATTTGAATAATTTAATTTTAAAAATGAAGGACCTACAGTAGCAATACTACTAACAATAAAAATAATAATATAAAATGTAACACTATAACTGACTAATTTCTATTTTTATATTACAGTGATTATTTTATTTTTAAAGTTAACATTTTGTGATATTATTTGCTCTGTAAGTTTAACTGATAAATGTAAACATTTATATTATTAATTATACAAGTTTACCAGACTGGATTTATCTAAATGTAGATTTTATGGTTATTTTATTTTATATTATTTATTTTACAAATTTACGTACTTTAATGATTAATGAGGAGAACTATTTGATTTAGTTTATTTAATTTTCCTAAATAATTTGAATGATTTAATTCTAAAAGTGAAGGACCTAAATTAATAATAAAATAAAATATGAAACTATGACTGACTGACTTCAATTTTTTATATATTATATAATATTATATATTATTTTTTTTATTATGTTATGTTATATTTCATTATGTTATATTATTTTATATAGATATTTAAAAAAATATATTTTTAAAAATATTTTATTATATTATATTATATAGAGTTTTTTTTTCTACAAATGAACCTGAACAGTTTAAACATTAGCGTCAGGTGCTGAGAGATAATTCTGTGTTTATGTCTTCATGTGAACGTCGTTAATAATCTTTCTCTTTCGTGTTAATTTCAGCCCGTCCAGCTCGTCGCTGCCCTTCGGTCTCGTCCGTCTGGCGAACAAACAGATCAACTGGCAGCTGGTGCTCGCAAGGTGCAACAAAAACACACACACAGACACACACACACACACACACACACACACACACACTGACACACACTGACACACACTGACACACGGACACACAGTCGGTGATCGATGCGTGACTGTGGGCTACTGTTGTTGCTGACATGCACTTCTCTCCCCTCCCTCAGCCAATCATTTAATTGTTCTGTTTCCAGCAGACGAACCTCGTGGAAAGAAAGACTCTGTTTAATTGACTATTGATTCCAGCGTGTAGGACGCTGCTCACAAGTGTTAAACGCACTCCAACCGCCTCCATTAGTCGGATTCCTGTCGCCTCTCACGTCTCTTCTCTTTCGTTTTGTCTGAAACTCTTCTCATCCTCACAGTTATTATCGTCATCATCATCATTATTATTATTATCACTCTTCAAACAGTCCAAACCTGAGATTTTATTCTCGTTTCCGTCATTTCCATCCTCAGTTGTTCTGCTAAAACACACATTTTATCTCTGATTGTGATCTAAATCATCAATAACGTCTCTGTTTACGTCTTGGTTCCTGCCTCCTCCCTGCTCGGCGCCACAGTAACGGGAAGCTGCTGGCGGTGGTTCAGGACCAGTGTGTGGAAATCAGGTAATTAGTCTCTCAGTGTGTGTGTGATGGTTTTAATTAATGGCCTGATTTATCACGTCTCCCTTAAAACGAGCCGCCAGCCTGCATCCAAGAACAATAAAAGCTGTTTTTCAGGCTTCAAACTGACGATGTGATCGGTCGAAGGAAGGTGTTTGATTGGGTTTAACTGTGGGAAACTGATCAGGAGGAGTTTAGGGAGAACCAGAGCTGAGGTTAAAGTAACACAACAACACAAACAGCTGCTGTATGTGCTAGTTTTGTTCTCTTTTTGTTGTTTTGTGTCACTTAGTGGTTGTTTTTTGTCTGTTTGTGTCACTTTTTAATGGTTTTGTATGTTTTTGTGGTCGATTTGTGTCCCTTTGAGGTTGTTTTTTGTTGTCTTTGTGGACATGAAACAACCGGAAAGATGTACGAAACAACTGCACTGTGACGCACAACAACACCAGGAAACAAGAAATGACCACAAAGAAACACAAATGATGACAAAGGCACACAGTAATGACAAAGATGCACAAAATGACTGTAAAGAGACACAAAATAACCACAGAGTGACAGAAAAAGAGCTGCAAGAAGACACAAATCAAAAGTAAAGACACACAAACCTACCGCAAAGAAACACAAAACGACCACAAACAGACAAAACGACAGTAAAGAGACTGAAAACAGCCCAAACAGACACAAAATGATGAAATTGAGACTCAAAACAACCACAGAGACACAAAAACAACTGCAAGCAGACACAAAACAACCACAAAGAGACATAAAACAACCCGAAGATGTACAAAATGACTGCAAAGAGGCAGAAAAAACCCACAATAAGACACAAAACAACCACAAGGAAACATAAAACAGCCGAACAATATATAAAACGACTACAAAGAGACAAAAAATAACCACGAGGAGTCAGAAAACAATCATGAAAAGACACAAATTAACCGTAACGAGGCACAAAAGAACCAAAAAACATGTAAACCAACTGCAAAGAGACAAAAAAATACACATAACACTCAAAACAACCAAAAAAAGGCACAAAACAACCAAAAAAAGGCTAAAAACAACCACACAGAGACACTAAATGTCTGTAAACTGCCCCATACAGCAGCTGTTTCCATGTCACAACAGCCTGAGGACTGATTTCTAGTAAATTCAGCCTCAGTTCTCTGAGGAACGAAGCTCTGGTTCTCCTCCTGACGAGCTCTGCTGGACCACCTGATCTGGGCCGACAGCCAATCAGAAGCCTTGTGGGAGCAGCGTCAGCAGACCGGTCACGCTGCGATACCTGCGGCGGTGAAACCGAACCGCGCCGACTCTTAACTGTGGTTTTACTGCTCGGGACGACGCTTTAAACGTGTGTAATTTTAATTCTGGACGGGCCGACCGGGCTATTAAGCACCGAGCTGGCTGTTTGGAGCATCCATTTACCACTTCAGGCTAAATGAAATAAAATGCTTACGCTCTGGAACCGCCGCTGCTCCCTAAATATTTTCATCTGTGTGAGTTAGGGGGAAGCCAAACGGAGCGTTCAGTGTGTTTGTGCTCATTTTCGGCGGCTGTAATTTCTCCTGGACACAAATCCAATTCTGTCCCTTTTTGCGCCGAAAATCCTCTCGCTCAGCGTAATGTTTTAAAATGAGCACCGCTGGAATGAAAATCAATAGCAGGTGAAGCAGCGCCTCCGTCTCCAGAGGCTAACAAGAGGCACCCAGTGTGTAGCTGGAGGGCAGCGTGTCCACGTCGATATGTGGAAGTGTTGTGTTGTTGCTGCTGTTGTTGACCTCCAGTAACCGGGTCTGCTCTGGTTATGAGTGGTGCTGGTGTCAATTAACGGTTGTTTTGTGTCTTTTTGTGTCAATTTGCATTAATTTTGTGTCTCATTGAGTTTGTTTTGTGGTTGTTTTCTGTCTCTTTGTGGTTGTTTTGTGTCTCTGCATTAATTTTGTGTTTCTTTATGTTTGTTTTTTTGTGGTTGTTTTTACAGTTGTTCTGTGTCAACAAAACCTACAAACCTAAAAACTACAGCGACACAAAACGACACAGAGACAAAAAATGACCACAAATGCACGACATGACTGCAAAGAGACACAAAAAAACCAGTGAAGACACACAAAACAACCCAGAAGAGACACAAAACACCTGCAAAGTAACCGAAAACAACAGAAAGAAAGAAAAAATGACCCTAAAGAGACACAAGATGATTATCAAGTGACATAATCGACCACAAGGAGACACAAAAAAGCTGTAAAGACGCACAAAGCGACAACAGAGAGACGGACCTGGTGCTGACTGTTTGTGTTTCTTCCTCAGGTCCGTGAGGGATGACTTTGGATCGGTCATCGGGAAATGTCAGGGTAAGAACTTCTACTCAATGATAGTAATAATAAAATATAAATGTATATAAAGTCAGTGAACACAGCGTTAGATTCATTAATGTGTTTACAGTTGGTGTTTATTTGTCTTTATAGGTTTAAATAATCTGGAATTAAATTCTGAATAATTCCAATACGAGATATTTACATCATCAGCCACAGCTGTGTGGTTCTTTTGTGTGTCATTGTGTTGTGTTGTGTTGTTTGTCTGTGGTGGCTTTGTGTCTTTTTATGGACGTTCTGGTTCTATTTGAGATGTTTTCCTTCTATTTGTGGTCACTTTGTGGTTGTTTTGTGTCTGTTCGTTGCCGTTTTGTGTCTTTTTGAGGTCGTTTTGTGTCTTTTTGTGATCGTTTTGTGTCTCTTTGTGGTTGTTTTGTGTCCCTTTGTTGTTGTTTTGTCTAGTTATTTCATGTGTCTATATGGTTATTTTGTCTCTTTGGTCGTTTTGCGTTTTTTTTTTTTTGTCTCTGTGGCTGTTTGGTGTGTCTCTAATTGTTTTGTCTCTCTGTGGTTGTTTGTGTCTCTTTGCAGGGGTTTTGTGTGTATTTGTGGTCTTTCAGTCTGTCTGTAAATGTTTCGTGTCTGTTTATGGTCGTTTTGCGTTTTTTTGTGTATCTTTGTGGCTGTTTTGTGTGTCTTTTTGGTCACTTTTTTCTAATGGTTTTGTCTCTCTGTGGCTGTTTGTGTCTCTTTGCAGGGTTTTGTGTGTATTTGTGGTCTTTCGTCTGTCTGTAGATGTTTCGTGTCTGTTTACGGTGGTTTTGTCTATTTTTTGTTTTAAGTTTTTCCGTCTGCGTGACCGTTAACGTGAATCAAACGGTACTGTACGTATTTACTGTCGGTACGCGTCTGCTTTGAGTTGGTTTCAGACACCAATAATCGGAGCGAGTTTGGATCCTATCGATTAGTAATGAGGTATTCTTGCTGTACTTAACTCCAGTAAAGGATTCTTCTTCTTCTTCTTCTTTGTTGTTCTACAAACTGAATCTCAGTAAATGAAACTTCTCTCTTTGTTTTTTTTAAATTATTTTTTTCTCTTTTGTCGTTTTCTTTGTGGTTCTGTTGCGGTTCTCCGTCACCGTTTCCTGTTTGTTCTGGTGCTTCATGGTGTTGATATCAGCCGCCGCCGCCGCCGGGCCTCCTCCTCCTCCTCCTCCTCCTCCTCCTCCTCATTCCATCTCCTTTTTCTTTTACTTCATTTCATTTCACGGAGATTTGTCCTAATGGATTCTGCTCTGATCCTGCCTTTTTAATGGCATTTTGCTTTTAATGGATGAGCGTGCTCGTCGTCTTCTTCTCTTTTTTTTTTTTTCCACTTTTGTGCCGCATCCACACCTGTGCATCACTTCACTGTCTGCTGGCTGTTACAGCGACTCCCCTCCCCTCCACCACCACCCCCTCCCCCCGCTGCATAATTCATAGGTGTTCTGATAAATGCATCAGACAGATAGGAGGCTGGTGGCGGCGGGTCACTGGGTGTAATTCTGCACAACTTCCCTCCTCGACATGGCGAGCAAAACAACAGGATAGTAGCATCCAATTTTCCAGCTCCCTAGAAAAGCCATCTATGTGGAAATGGAGCCCTGCGAGCCGCGATTTATGGACGGCGAGGTTGAAGCAGAGGAGACACTTTGGCTTACATAACATTTCCATGTTCTCGTCTGCTCCTCCTGAAAGCCGGGAGTCTCGGAGGTGCTCTAAATCGCCTCCTTCCCGGGCTGCTCTCTGATTTGGGGGAGCTATTATATCTCTCCACGGGTCGCGTTCATTGTTTCCCCCTCCTCCTCCTCCCCGCGTGTTTGTCTGTCTCGCCTCCCACTTCTTCCCTTTGTTCTTCATTTAAAATTCTAGTCATACAATATCCGACGCCTCCATTCGTTTGCAGTATTGCCCACCAGGGGCTGCAGCAGCGTTCCTCCGCCAAGAAATTCAGCACAATAAAGCCAACAGCGCCGTTATGTGATATCAACAAAACCATAACTTCCCTTTCATAACTTTATTGCTTCGTGGTCTGGCTTCGTGGTGCCGCCGAGATAAAGCCGAGTGTTGTGTCTAGTTGGATGTTTAAAAAATGGAGTAATTAAATATTTTGCCGCGTGCCGCCTCGTGATAATCGGAGCGAGGATCAGAGGCCTGGCCGGCTCCTCTATCAGAGCCCGGGACGACGGCGGATCCTTGAGAAAATGCCAGCAGGCTCGGATGTGCTTCATCACAGCGATATGGTTACACTCGCAGCACTGCTGAGCCAGCAGATTGCTAAAACAGTGGCCCATACTTCAATAAAGGCTCGATTTATGATTTCCGCTCTCCTCCCCCATCCTCTCCGCCGTCCTCCCCGTCTCGCTGTGAAAGTCTGCCAGAGACAATTATTGAGATATTACTGCTGCTATCCCTCACAGATGAATTGGATCCTCAGACACATTGTGTTGATAGACGCCGTCTGAATTTGTCATCTGCATAACGCCGGAGAGATTTTCTCATCTGACTTCATGTGAAGCCCAAAAGGAGGTCAAATGGGTCCTTGATGATAAAAAAACATGTTCAAAATGGGCTAAAATCTGTCATAAATTACTTAAAATGTGTCCAAAATGACTTAAAATTGGTTTAAAATGATGGAAAAATTGTCCTAAATGACCCAAAAGCAGCCGAGAATGAATCAAAATATTGCAAAATGGGTTAAAATTTGTCCTAAATTACTTAAAATTGGTTTCAAATAATTGAAAAATGTCCAAAATGACCCCAAACCGGCAGATAATGAATCAAAGATGTCCACAAGGACTTAAAATTTGTCCAAAAAGACTTAAAATTGGTTTAAAATTGTCCAAAATGACCCAAAAGCTGCCATGAATTAATCAAAATAGTCCAAAAATGACAACAAAATTCAAAAGGACTTGAGGTTTGTACAAAAGCAGTTAAAATTGTCTAGAATGCCTGAAAAATGATCTAAAAGTGACTTGAATTCAAGTATGCATACAAGAAAAGCAGCAATAATTTCAGAAAAACATCCAATGTGACTTAACTTTTGTCTAAATTGTCTTAAAATGTGTCTTAAAGTTGTCCACAAGGACTTAAAATTTGTCTAAATTGTGACCCTGTTGTCTTTTGTGTTTCTGTGTTGGTCCAGTTCCGAAGGATCCGAACCCCCAGTGGCGCCGGGTGGCCTGGAGCTACGACTGCACCCTGCTGGCCTACGCCGACAGCACCGGCACCGTCCGGCTGTTCGACCTGATGGGCAGCGAACTCTTCGTCATCCCGCCGGTAAGAGTGCCAGCGTCCAGTCTCTCCGATCACCGCTGTGATCAGCTCAGGTCGTTTTAAATGTCACGTTCAGTTTTAACTCATTTCAGACATCAGTGTGTTATTGTTTTTAAGTTTTATGTTAATTTTAGAGAATTTTAAGTCTCTTGGCAGCTTTGAGTCACTTTTTGAACAATTCTCAACGAATTTTGGACATTTTTTGCGCAAATTTTGAGTCATTTTAAACAAATTTCATGTCATTTTCGACGAGTTTTAACTAACTTTGGACCTTTGTGTGTTTATTGAAGACACATTTTAGGTTATTTTGAAACACTTTGAAGTCACTTAACTGCTTTGAGTCACTTTGGAGCAACTTTCCAACTCATTTTGCAAATTTTTCGTCATTTCGGACTAATTTTGAGTCTGAAGATAGATGTTCAGTAATTTTACATGAATTTTGAGTCATCTGGCAGTTATTTTTGACATTTTTGTCCCATATTATGAACAATTCTCAACGAATTTTGGACATTTTTTGTAGTTTTGCACAAATTCTGAGTAATTTTAAACAAATTTTGTGTCATTTTCAACGAATTTTAACTAACTTTGGACCTTTGTGTGTTTATTGAAGACACATTTTAGGTTATTTTGAAACACTTTGAAGTCACTTGACCGCTTTGAGTCACTTTGGAACAATTTTTCAACTCATTTTGCTCATTTTTCATCATTTTGAACATTTCTGCGTCACCAAAGACACATTTTAAGTTACTTTAGATGCATTTTGAGTCAGTTTGGACATTGCTTTTGCAGCTCTGTCAGCTTGTACATTTGATAAAACGGGAGCCCGCTACAGAAGTCCACATTTGCGACGGCTGATGAAACTCCCTGATCGTGCCTCAGGAGTGAAGTTCTGCTGCACTCACACTCACTGTCACCTTCTGAAGAAGAAGAAGAAGAAGAAGCTCTCTTTGTCTGTCACGCCTGCTTTCTAATTCATCGTCTGTTGCTTCTCCTGCACTCCTCCTTCGTCTTCATCACCTCCCCTCTTTAATTTTTCACGCGCTCGCTGCCTCGCCCGTCTCGTGTCGCTGCCGGTCCGGCCTCGCTTTCAAGCCCTCCGCGCGCCGCGTATCATCATCCCGGCGTTTCCATCCATCACTTCCTGCGTTCGTCTATCCGGCCTGACACTCCCGCACTCATCCTTCAAAGTCTGTGATCCTCAGTCCTTTAGTGCAGCGCCGCTTTGTTATTCCTGCAGCTCGGCTCGGCTCTTCCTCCTTGTTTGTCGCCGTTAAGTGAACACACCAGTGACTTTGCTGCTATTTCTGGAGGAGATGATAAAAAAGGCAATTTGACAGAAAGTGTGTGTGTGTGTGTGTGTGTGTGTGTGTGTGTGTGAGGGAAAAATTAAAAATTCCTCCCTGGTTTCCTCTGTCTGTTATCTTTTGTTCCCTGCCTCCCCCTTCTTCTGTCATCGCTCACTTTTCTTCTCTGTGTCTCATGTTGTTCGACAAACTTTGTCGGCGTGATGCGTCTTTGTAGTTTGCCCCAGAAGCCACAAACCACCGATAGATAATTATACGTATTTCTGTGTGTCTTTTTGAATTCCCTCGCTGCTCTTCCTCCCTCTGATGTGTCGCTCCTCTTCTTCCAGGCGGTGAGTTTTCCGGGGGATTTCAGCTGCGCGGTGGCCGGCCTCATCTTCCTGGAGTACACGGCGAGCGCTCAGTGGTCAGCCGAGCTCCTCGTTATCACGCACGGAGGCGGACTCAAGAGCTACTTAGTCAGGTGAGATGGAGGCGAAGCTGCTTCCTCCTCAAAATAGCTGCGCCTCCGGATCAGACACGCGATGCCTCAGGTGGAATAAATGACGGAGGGTTTCTTATTTGTACATTTTTACACGTTCCTTTCCATGTGAGATGAATCAAATCTGGACAGAGTTATTGGTTCCCACCTGACCTCCTCAGAACCATCTGGTTCTTTATCTACAGCAGCTTTATCTAATGAAGCAGTTCTACCGTCAGACTGTGAATGTTCCAGAGTTCCAGGTCCTTGAAGTCCACAGAGGAGGGTCCAGATTTATCACTTTAATGGACTTTTCCCGTCATTAGCCTGAGTTAAAATATGACTCTATTAGAAAGTGATTTTCTCCACAGAGTGAATCCTGTCTATAGATGGTTCTGGTGTGTTCTGGAGGTAAAA